GCTGAGTACGTGGTGACTCCTGCACCTGTGTAATTGCTATACAAAGCCAAAAGGAGATGGTTTCTTATGGAAAATAGATTAAGGAATTCTATAAGCAGATGAGCTGAGATTCACGTGTGAAAACAATGGGAAAGATGGATTCCGTGGACAATAATGCAACTGATTGTTTTAGGAACATCAATGGGGACATGTACTATATGGAAGAATAAAAATCTTAATCATTGTTAGCTGGATGAAAAAAGGACACAATTTGTAAAAAATTGCAAGTATAATTTTGATTATCTACTTCACATCTTATTAGATTCCCTTACTTTTTCTGAGATTTAGACAGAGAAAATAAAACTTTCTTTTTCCTGCATCAGAGAAATTAGCAGTATTTGCACTCTGAGATGACACTCAAAACCAGAAATTATCTGCAACAAGTAGAGATGTATTTTTGTTAATTAATGAGTTTTTCATTGGGGCAGTTTCAAAAACAGATCTTGGACCAGCAGCAAGACCTGAGATAAGGTTATATCTTTCCCCAAACTGCAATCCTGGAAGAAAAAAAAAGGGAAGAAAAGAAAGGAAAACTATTTGAAGACAGGAAAAATATCTGGCAAAGATAAACTGAACCATTGATCTAGTCATGGAAATTTCTAAGCATTATTGACTTGATAGCCCAGGGTCTGAATACTGTTAAACAGCGTCAGTAGAGAAGTACAGTGACAGGATGACTCAACTGTACTGCAAGCAAATCTTTCAGATTTCAAGGGTAAAATTTACTCAGAAGGAGATGAGAAAAGCTCATTCCACTTTTCAAACAGGACAGCAAAACCAGGGCATGGTAGTAGATTGCATGTGTATAGGCTTTGTCCTGGAGAACATGGTTATTAGCATTTAAGTAGTACTCTAGACAGGCCAATAGATTTCTAAGCAGCATGAAAAAAATAAGCCTCACAATGACAGAAAGACTGTCAGACCTGAGGTTCAGAGGGTCTATCAGTCATCTTTTCTATTGACTGTCATGAATTTTCAATTGCGATTAATTCAAGTGGGCTGATTATCAAACAAACATCCTACAAGTAAAATCTTTCCCAGACCTGGTGGCTTTCATTACCCCAAGGTATGACACAATACATTCTTTTTGCGCTTTAAATCAAAAAGGTGTGGCCATAGACTACCACGTGTGACTCGAGACCCAGGAAAAGCGAGCATAGCTAACTTACATTCCCTGTGGATGGCCCTGGATGTCTGCCAGATGTGTTCCCAAAGCACTCAATGCAAACACCCCAATTTAATAATCCCTGCACGGACCCATTCACATCCTCATGGTGCCCTTCATGGCATCCAGCTGCATCCAATCATGGCTTGGGCACATACATTTGGTTCACTTCCCCACACACAGATGCATGTTTGGTGTGGATTCCTCTGTGTTTCTTACAACTGATGAATTTCTCTGTGAAAGTGACTTTGTGTACAATGGGTATATAAGGTGAAAACAACATTATGTTAATAAGGTGCTGTCTTTTCCTTCTAGATCTATTTTTGAGGGTTTTGTCTTTCACTGTCATTGAACCTTCTTTCTTCTCCTATTGTAAGAAAATGAAAATGAGCATTGCTTCTGTCAGTGAGCCCCATTCACTTTGAGTCTTCCCCTTCTAAACAGTCCTGGATTATTTTCTGTTAACCTCTCTTTGTACAGATATCTTTCTATGCCTTTGATTAGGCATATTAGTGTTCCTGACAACCTCCTATTTCAACAACATATTCTACCTCTGGCAGACATAAACAGTCCCCAGGGTAAGATCCTTCTAAAGTGCTTCACAGGCTCTTCTCACTTCTTGACCAATAAGTATGCTATACTTATAGTATACAATACTATTAAATAGTAGCATGTCATCAACAGTTTTTTGCCACCTTGCTTTTTCAGCCACTTCTTCAGACAGTGGATAAGTACATTTACCCACTCTACTATCAGCTATTCATCAGATATTCTGTGACACTAAATTTCTTGCCATGCTAAAAATTGACTTTATTTTTTTTAATACTTTTTTCCTTTTTTTTTCTCCCTACAACATTTCCTTTCCCTTATCTCTCTCTCCCTCTTTGTATAACTATCCAATTCCCTCTCAACACTCACAATCACAATTTTCTGCTTTATTCAGAATTTCTATTCAGCAGTAGGCTCTAAAGTTGACAGGATTTAGAGAAACCACTGCTTACATAAACACAGTAAACTAACTTGTAATGTTGATATTTCTATATCCACACCAGACACTGGATACCTATGACCAGACACTAATGTGCAAGAAATCTGGTGTTTATCTGCCCCAATAATAACTGGCTACAGTAATTCAGATTCCTACACAAATCCCTTCAATTAAACATGTAAAAATGCTGTTAGAAAGAACTTTAAAAAATAGAAAGGAACTTAAATTAGAGTTAGAAAGAACTTTTAAAAAAAAGGTAAGTGAACATTAAAAACCCAGTTTTCTTTAAATGTAATGATGCTGCTCATTTCTGATGGTCTGATTTCCTCCTTGAATTCATCCTTCACAGATTAAAGGCACTGTAATTCCCAGAAGGCATGAGCTCTCTGCACCTCCACTTTTAAAAACACTAAATGAGTCATTGCCCTGAATTTTCCATTCCACCTCCAAATTCTTCAGCTTGAACACATTTTGGGCATACAGAGGTTACTGCTTCTTGAACTGTATACAGAAAGAACTGCCAGCCTGAGTAAAATAAAAGCTTTATTTAGCCCATGAGCCTACCTCTGCCTCTGAGGGTGAAGAGAAACCCAGGGAAGCCAAAAGGTTTTTCCTGAAGCTCATTCCCATTTCCCAATGGTCTTTGCCTCACAGCTACCTGAGTGGGAAGCTACATCTAAACCTCCATGTTTACTTGCACCTTCTGAATCTATCAGACAAAACTGGGCCTTTTTCCAGATGGGTTTTTACTCCCTCTCTTGATCTATCAGCCTCCTGGCTGTCCTGTGGGGGTTTCAAGTTGAATTCATTGCATCAGGAAAAAGCAAGCAAACAAAAAACTCCCAAATCCCGCTGTGTAGTCATTTAGGTGCCCCTTAGCTCATATTTGATGAAAAAGAATCAATTCCTGTGTGCTTTCTCTATGTCACAATGATCTCCACTATCACCTGCTGCAGTTCCCCTCAACCATCTTTTTAATTTGTTTAGTCTCCCCACACATGGAAGTCATCCACATTTCTCCATTCACAGGAGGTGTGTAACAGATTTATGCCACCGAACAATAATATTTTTTCTGTTCCTTTTATGTACCTAGTGTAACAACACAGAATTTCGTATTTCACCGTTCCCTGAATATGGAGCACTTTCAGAAAACTAAGCAGAAGCATCATCTGAAAAAAGAAGCAAATTGAGAATCCATCTCTGTGTACACAAAGTAATTTTTTTCCTATTTTGCACTTAATAGATTACTGTAAACAATTTTTATGAGAATAACAATAAGAGAAGTTCCCAGAGAGAAAAAAAGCTCTTTTGATTAAGGCACCCAAACCATATTCTGTTGACCCAGAAGCATAAGTTTTCCAGGCTAGGAGGTTCTGCCAGTTTTCCCAACCTCCACCTTGCTCATAACCAATGTTATGAGAATGTCAGCAAGTTCATTACAGATAGAGAGCAAATCAGGTATATGCCTTCTGGATTTCTGCCAGATAAGGTTTTTTTGAGGAAAGCAAATGCAAGGTGTTAGTCAAAAATTCTACTTCTTCAGCAGAGATAAAAAGCACTGACAATGTTTTGATCACACATATTTATATGATAAATAATAAAAATGAGCACATTTCCCATATTGAATATCAAGGAAGGATATTCAGACAGAAAGGTGAAACTCTGTTTCAATTCTTAGGAGATTCAACAGCAAAGGAGACACATCCTATTAAATATTTGTTACACTTGAATAAAAAACATACTTAATAATTAATTGTTGTGCATTTAATTAACATAATCACTGCCCAATTAAATAAAAATGAAAATTTAATTTGAGGCACTTTAAGTACACAGAGATTAAGGATAAAATATGAATATCCTGAGTCCTCAGTTTTCAGCACTGAGTGTGGAAGTGATATGTGGCAAAGTAGTTCAGCCAGAATTAGCAATTTAGAAAGGGTAATAAAACATTCCTTCATCTGCCCCTGGCCACAGGAAGCAAAAAAAATGCCAAACAGGAGATGGTGTGGGAAATTTCACTTCCATTTCAAATATAAAAAGCAGAAAGGGAGCTCTGCCATCCATCCCCATCCACAATAAGGGCCATGTAATGATTTCTCATACTCTTGGCTTGACAATCCTATATACAATGGAGAGAATTTGCCAGACAGATCTGTTCATTTAAAACAATTCTTATTTTAAACCTATGGAACTGTAAGGTTAAAAAGCCTCAACCAAGAGGTCACCTTGCCAGGCTCTTGCTCTGCTACCCATCTCTTTGGTGTCCCTTCTCCTAAGATCATCAGGCATTCTTCTCCATACAAATACCAGGGACAATCAAGGTTTCCCCTCCTTGGAATGCCAAAGGCAGCACATTTGTATGAGGGGATGTATTGCTGCCTACATCAGCCTGGAAGGGTTTATAGATAGCTCAGTGAGAGGAGTTTAATAATAATTCCCAGATCTAGTATTCTAATAAAGCAGAGAAACCATTCAATTACAAAAGAATAGTTTGGATTCTAAGTTTCTATCTCTTTAGTAAAAACCAAACATGTCATCAAAAGTTAGGATATTATGAAGTGCCCTTTATAAGGTGCAGATACTGTTGGATGTATCACTTAGCAAGGCAAGTCCTTCAAACTTATTTTAAATATCACTTTTACATGGATCTTATTTAAGGAAACATCTCAAAGTGAAACCTCAGTTACAAATTTGCTGCTTCTTCCCCACTCTTGAGCTATATTATTGACATCTCTATGTTTTCATTAAGACCACCTCAGATCAAATTAGATCCAAGATCAAGCAGCCAAGTCAAGGTTAGGTCATTACCTGTGATATTGCAAAAAACACGGAGTGGTCCCAGGGGTCCACTTCCATCAGAATCGATGTAGAAGAAACCTGATGTCCTCCCTTGGTGTCGGTAAGCCTCACAGGACTGCTCATAGACAGCTTTGAAAGAAAGAGAGAGGGACTGCATCACAGACAGAACACAGACAGACATGTTTTATACATGAGTACTGCATTAATTATTGCCATAACAAACCCTGTTAGCACACAGCTGATTAGCATGTGAAATTTTACGGCATCTGTGTTGGAACCCATGCTCTAAATCACACCCTTGCATTTGGGTTGGAACCCATGCTCTAAATCACACATTTCTTTAGCTAATTCCTTTAAATTAATGCGTGCTGGCTTTAAAGATACAGGCACTTCCTTTATTTTGGATTAAAGCATGTAAATACTTAAATAAAGGGATATGAACTTTCAAATGTGACATATCTACCCATGGAGAGGTACATGTATTCACCATGTATGGTATTTCAAAGACATACCTACATACACACAGGTACACATGATTTACTACCTAGGCATGCACTTAAGTCTTCTCAACACAGATGATAGGTATTTTTACCAGTCTTTGCCTTCCCTGCAGGATAAGGTTAACAGGAAGCAACAAAGCCCCACCATAGTCTACTGTCCAAATGAAATCTATTGTCCCCCAGCAGAAAAGATCAAGCTCAGACATGTTCTCCATCCTAGGTTATGTTTTTATGCTTTAGACCTAATTTTATACAACCAACTCTTTCTCTCTGCTTATCAATATTCTTCTTTTAGACTACCAGTGCCCATGAAAATCCAAGTGGTTAATAAAACAAGCAGGTCACCAAGAGCAAGAAAAGGAAGAAAAATCCACTATACTTCACCACTTATATACTGGACATTTTCTCCACTTCTGCCAACAAAACAGCACCACAGTTCTAGGGGCTCTGGTCTAAACTGGCTATGGATTAAGTCTCATTGTTCAATCATTTGTACACTCACAAGAACATGCTTCTCCCTTGCACACTTCTTGCCTGACCAGGTATCTTTAGCAGACAGAACATCACTGAGTGCTAAACAAGCACAGCACTATCCTACCCAGGGTTAAGAAGCGGCTTAAGGTACTCAGCACCTGATGAGACAGTGCCTTAATTAGCATCCATCCTATAATAAATAGAATTAGGAAAGCCATTTCCTCAGAGCCTGATGAATTCAAGCATGGTAGGAGGCCTGAATATCTCTGAATTCCCCCTGTGATAGCTGGCCAAGAACACTTATTAAATGCAAGTTAAATAAAATCCCCAAACCAGAACCTATTCTTCCAGTGCTCAGAACCTGAGGGGCTGACAGAGTCCCTGAGTTGCAGAAGTGCTGACAGAAGCAGTGGGCATATGGAGGTCAGGAGAGAGATGGTAACAGGCAATTAAGTAAGCAACCAAGGAATCATGGTTTGATCAATTTGCAAAGTTCTGAAACTGCAGTTCACTCTGAATTTGCTGTCATCATCGTTACAGGACACTTCATCTTGTCTCATTAGGGAATATGCCAATTGCTTCCTCGGAATTGTTTGCTGAGTGTTTTTGAAGACAAAGGATGGTGCGAGGGGTAGAGACATAAAACAAGTGTGTTGTCAGGGAACTGGCACAGCAAATCTCAGTCTTCATCACAACTTGTTCTTTCTAAGTGTTCTTCTTCTTGACTGTCATTTTGGCTCGAGCCCATATCTGAGCTTTTCAAATTAGTACGGAAAGATGTGAAGATTCTGCCCTTAATAACATGGGTAGATTCAAACAGAGATGATCTACTCACCTTCAGATAGCCCCTTTGTCACTGTAACTTTAGGGGGAAAAAGGCTATACAGAGCTAGAAATCAGGCTAAAGGTGCTCAACTGGTATAAATCTGAAAGGATACACAAGCTTCCATAAAACTACAGTTATGTCTGCCAGAAGGAAATCCATCCTGGTATGTTTGCCTTTCAGTTATATGAGAAATCCAGCACTACATACTGGCAAGTAGCAGAAGAAATGGGAAAAGGCCATAAACCTCAAGCTCTAGCACATAAAACATATTCCATCATGATTAGTGAAAAGCAGTTTTGGTAGGCAGTTTATTTCATACCTGCACACAAAGTTTCACATGCCTGTATCTGTAGCACTTGGTACTGCACACTTCTAGACTGCAAGCAGATGGGCCATTTATTTTAATTCTCTTTTTTGCTGTTTTTTTCTACATAAAATGTATCAAGAAGAAAATGATGTTTGTTTTTCAGTCACTGGCAGATGCCCCTACAGACATTTTGAGTGCACCAACCTTTCCAAGCTCTGCTCAACTCCTTTGTGGCCTGAGATGCTTTCTTGCTTCAGAACAAAGTTATGCAATTCCATTTGCTGAAAAAGGCTCTATTATGACAGTAACAACAACTTGAAGCCATCTTTATGGGTCCATGAAAGACAAGATCTCTTTGCTGTCATTATTCTCTTTTTGCAATCAAAAATATCATATGAAGGTAAAAATCAGACAAACAGTCAGCTGTGACTGTTAAGACCCCAGAACCTCAACTTTGAAAACTGTCTTCACATTTATGCTCTGTTTTGTGTCAGGCTTCTCTGGTGTAGATGGAGTTGTGTTCATTTTGGGAATATCAGGGAAACCATTATTGTAATTGTCATTAAAGAGTCACCAACCATTTAAGAATAAAAGGCCCCACTTTCAAAAAGCAAGCACTAATGGTAATGATGGAACTGTTGACAGCTACACACATTTTAATGGCAAAGAGAATTTGCACCTTTTTAATAAAGGAGAGGTATTCACCAGTTCGTTCAGAGTAGAACCCACCATGAATTTTCAAATATTATTTTTACCAATATTTAAAATTTATTTAAAATTCATAAGCTTAAAAATCAAAACTATGGCTCTGAAATGTATACTCCCCTCTTTTTTCAAGCCATACACTACACCTCCCCACAGAAATATCCTAGCAAAACTATAAATATTCACTTTGATTGGTCATGGTTCAAGCTATAGATCCATGATTCACACTTCAGTGTCAGAAAGGCATTATCAGATTTGAATATCATACCTTTTTTTGACCTTCTGCATAAAAAACCACTCAGAATTTAATTTCCTAATCTCTGCATCAAGACCCTTATGGCTGGTCAGCCACAGCACATGCAGGACCTCCCTGTTACTCCACAGTTAGGTCTGAAAGGACTGGGGTAACTCTTGGTTTGGGTCTGCAGTTGAAAATTCAAGCCTTTATTCAACATGCTTCACGAGCCTGAAAGGTTTTAAATATAAGCAATTGTGTCACTGTTAAATTCTTTGAAGTACCTTGAACCTGATAATCCAACTGTTCTAATTACAGTCCTTAAACCAGAGGTGCTTTTATCCCAGCCATGGCTGAAATCTATAACAGTACATGGCTAAGCACAAACATTTCCAAGGTCAAACTTCCATTTTTTCTGACATAAAATCTTTTTTCTTCACTTTTTCACAGACTGTCCCTTGCTATATTGATATCTGGCTTCCAATCTTCCTTTTGCCCTAAGCAGTTCACCTGCAGTCTCCATGGCAGCCTTTGCTAAGCACAGGCTTCCTGTTCCACTGTGGAGATGCTCAGCAGATGAGCCTTTAGATGCTCTCAGCTCCTAAGTTCTTAGCTCTGTTTCCTTTGCCCTCATGTTCTTATGAAACCTCTGCTCCCTTTCAGGCTACATTTTTGGTTTTTTACACCTCCAGTCCTACTTTGGCTAAAAAAAAAAAAAAAAGAGGCCATTCTTTGTACAAAGCCTTGAACTTCTGCAAATAACTGTTTGAGAACTTCTGTTCTCAAGGAGCAACATATTTAAAGCCCCCTCTCTTCAATGGCTAATGAACCTGCTATTCACTCAGTAAGATGCACTCTTACCCCATATTTAAAAATCCTGCTTGCACTCAATGTAAAGGTTCAACGGCACTGCTCAGTTCTGCTGCTGGGAGGACCAGGCAAGGCAAACCTCTCTCTGCTGCACCCAGCAGCACATTATTTATGTAGATATCACCAAGAATGTAAACTTCCAAACAAAAAACAATTTGTTTGGGTTTTTTTTTCCCTCAGACAACACTGTCCTTTTCAGATTTAATGGACACCAAGATAACTTTCCTCAAAAAATAGAATTAAACCTTAAAATTCCCCATATTTTGTTCTGAATGCATTCCCAATTACTTTGGAAATTGATTTCATTGCATGAAATGTGAGCTAGGGATTCAGAATTTCAGCTGTACTAGTTATGACTACCAAAATGAATCCTGTAGTATTCCTGCCTCAAGATTAGATTCTCATAATCTAATAAAAGTAGCTGATAATTTTCAATTTCTCAGAGAGAGAGAGCATTTTATGGTGATATAATACATGAAGTACATTAAAGGGACCTAAAAAACTTTAATTCTTTATTTCATTGGGAGGTGCTGACACTGTCCACTTTTCAGATAAAATGTAGCAGCAGTGAGTTGCTTTTATCATCTCTAAAAACTGTAAAGTCATGAAAAAAGGTAGACAGAATACTTGCAGCAACATCATTTCAGGCTCATTTACTCATTGTGTAATTCTCTGCACATTAGACAAGAAGAGTAATAATAACTCCTATAATGGTAATTATTATTGCATTCAGAGGTGAGAACTTATGTACTGGTTAGACTGGAGAGGCCAGTAAGAGCTGGGGATTCTGCCAGGATAATCAACCAGCCACAGACTGACCTTGGGAAAACAGATATACACAAATGCTGAGCAGGCCAAATTAAGTATTCTCAACAAAATGCTCAGAGCTCTTGGAGGCAGATCAGAGATGACTATTTCAATCTCTGCTCGTGTACCTTAGGCCTGACAGATCTGCTCTTACAGACTTGGAGTAATGAGCAATGAGCAAAAGATTTTTCTAAATAAAAAAGAAAGCAGTATGTAATGGCAGGTTTCTTATTTCAACAACAGAGGGATTAGTACAGCAATGAACTCAGGGAGTGATCATCATTCTCACCCCTAAAATACAATTGTCTTGTTAAATGCCAGAAAAACCTACTCTCAAAACCTGGATTGTGACAGCTCTGCTCTTGACAGAATAACGCAGTCTGTGCTGTGACGTGCCTGGATGAC